CATAACACATGCTATAAATCACAGTGATTCACACACTTTACTTACGGTGCCTATTGTTCGTTTGACTCAGTTATCTAGCTCTTCAATCTATATATATCTCTTCTATCTATCTGCCCAATCATGCTGGTTTTTCTCGCCAGGCTTATATACTAAAAAAGAGGACGCCTCGAACAAATTAGAGTTGCCAGGAAAATTCATGATTCTTCTAGAAACTCTAGCACGCATGCTCCCAGCATCGCGTGACTTCTGCTATCGTAACAATATACCTGAATGATATACCAACACTCGCCCTTTGAGCGTGAAATTCGTATATCTGAATCTGTTCTCATACATTTCAGTAAAACATGTTTTAGTCAAATTAGCAGCTTTTTTAATGCATTGTGATTGGTTGATTGGCTTGATCCATGTTAAATTCAGTATCATATTGATCTACAAAATGCACCAAATAGTACCATTTTGCTTCACTAAATAAAAAAATTCATGGGGGAGTTTGCTCTAAGACAGACTCTCCCTCTTTTAGAAGGCTATCACCTTTAGTGATCACAGCACTTTACAACATACTACAATTTAAATTTTTCAAAGATCTCAAACAAATTCCTAAACATAAGCAGCTCTGTGTTTGCCAAATTACAAATAAAACAGGAATAAATATAGACTGAAAGTAAAGATGAACATGCAGAGCTTAGCGAAACTGGATTAATAGTTTTAGTATTGTTTTGAAACTATGGGTTTTCAGACCACAGTATGTTCTTGAGATTGAGATATTAATTACTATAGAGATTGTGTAGTGCTAGTATGTCTGAGTATATGCAAAGTGTTACTGTTCTTCATTGTGTCTAAATTATGGGACATAAAAAACAGATAAAATTTGAGTACTGGTAGTAAAAGTTATATTTACTAGCAGTTTTTATATAGTATAATAAGCAATATTATGTTAGAACAAATTGAAAAATTTGGTACTTTTGTGGTGTAATACTATTATGCAGTATTACTCTCAGTGACAAACATGTTTGTGTACAGTAATATTTATGTCTGTGCCAGTTACTGGTATGATTGTACATTGTGATGGCATAGCAGTAATAAATGTTGTGGACATTTTATTAACATGTATAAAGTATCCTGTAATTAGAATTTACAACTTAGTCATTTGTAAGTACAACCTGGCTATCTTATAAACAAATAAAACTTGCATAAACCTGAACATATTTCCATGCAGTAACATGATCAAACAAGAAATATGTGGTTAAAGGTTGAACAAATTATAACAAATGAAATTTATCTATTAATTTTGATGTAAGTATGAAAAAAGTCTCCATAATCTATTGGTTTATTAATGATAGATTTCCATTTAGCAAAAACGTATTTTTTAGTGTCTGTTTTAAACTTAAAATAGAAATGTGCTGGTAGGTTTCTGTATTATATGACTTGTTTTAATTTATTACTGACCTGCTCCATATCCCTTATGCTTATGAAATTTTGATTTTGCTATTGTATTTATCAGCATTAGAATGAATATGATACTAATAAAGCCAAAATTCACAATAGTACAATCTATATCCAAAGTTAAGCAAATAAATCTTGCACTTGAACACGCATGAATACAAAACATTTTCCTTGAAAGTAGATTTGATATCTTGATTCACTCATAATCTATTTATATTTAGTTGATCTTAAGTTTTCCTTGGGCTACGAATATGTATAAGAATTAGAACTCAAAATTATAGGCAGTATGTTGTGTATATTTGTTCAAAAGAGTTTATTATATAACAAAATATAGATTATTTCTTTATATGTGTATCAAGAAATTTTTCATGGAACTAAATATTATACTTCTTTGTGTAGGTATATATATTTCTTTTTTATTAGATAATCCTTATTGAAAGCAGTACTACTCTTGGAGGGTGGATAAGAACAACAAGGTATCCAGATGGTACCATTTTTGAACATGGACCTAGAAGCATGAGACCTGTTGGAAAAGCTGGATATAATGCTTTAACCCTTGTAAGTTAATTCAAAATGTGGGATTATTACAAGTTTAGGTCTTATTTTTAAATTTTTATGAAAGTTATATTTTAAGGATTTTGTAAAATGAAATAATTCTTTTAATTCAAACATTTTAGTCAGACTTTGTAAAAGACTATAAAGCACTTGATAACATTTATATTCAACTGTTCAACATTTTAGAAATTTTTTTTTTAGATTTTAAACTTAAACTTATTAGTTTTCAAGTGCATGCTGTTCTGTAAAAGTCATGTAGATTCGTTGTTATGCTGCATTGTTAAATTAATGTTTAGGAATACATTGATCTTGTAGTGCAGATTTTAACTAATAATAACATTTAACCTTTAGTTGAAACTGTTAAAAGAACACTTGCTAAAGAAAATTTTGAGTACTAAGTCTTGTTCTGTGCATTTTAGATCATTAAGAGGTTGATTATGAATAAAATTTATTCTTCATAGGTGTAAACCTCCTGTGGTAAACAAACAATTATAGCACCAATGTATTGTTGTAGTAACTTCTCTGTGGTTTTTTAGTATTTTTTGCTGATCCTGTGAACCTCTCATGATCTCATTCTTGACGAGTAAACAGAATGCTCTTTTCACCATTAAGCATTGTCCAGTTTGGAGAACATTTGCTGTAGGATATCTTCTGAATGTCGCTTATGTCTTCTATGTCATTATTTATGGGCATGTTAGCTTTTTTTTGTGCATCTTTTTAGAATACTGCTGAACATTTCATTGTTTGACTTGTTAGTCTTTTACCTTTCATTTCCGTTGACTTTTGAATAATTAAAGTTTTACATTTGTCTTAGATGATAATATTTTTTGAGTTTTGCAAATTCAATTTTTCATATTGCTTCTAAATATTTTGATATGTATTGACTTTACTTTTGAGTTTATTTTATATAGAAAACTTTTTAAATGTGTATAAAAAATTCTTGTTTTGATAATTCTAGTAATTTTCTGTTTATGTTTAAAGACTGAAATACTTAGACTTCAAAATCAATTGAATCAATATTTTAATAACTATTGATTTAAAGTAAGGTAACTATATATATCATGATTAAGTTAATTTCCAGCAACTTGTGCATTAATGAATATTATCCAGTGTAACACATTGACTAGCAGATCTTCATGCTATAAAGCAATACCTGGAAAACAAAAACTTTAAATTATAATGAGTATTCCCAGTAATATCTCATGAGGTTCAGCTAGCTTAAGAACTTAAGTTAAATTCACACACCAAGTCGACAATGTAAATAGTCTTCAGAAGTGTAATTACATGTATTGTTTAAAAAACAAACATTACAGTCTATAAACTTTATATAAAGTAATTAAATAATTATTGCTTATGAAGACAAATTTACTCTGAAAGTAAATATGAAGCTCAATCTGTCATTTAATACATCAATTTTCACTGAGTTATAATGGTTTCAAGAAATTCATCCCACCCATCATAAGAAAACACTTGCATACAAAAAAGAGAAAAAAAAATACTCCATATATTCCATTTGCACTATATCAGCAGCAAAAAGATAAATGGAAAAAAAATTCCTATAAAAGTAGAACAATGCAGGAAAGATAGCAGAATACATTTAACATCATGAAAAAGGAACTTATCAAGAGTTGCTTTTCTTCTCTTTTCATGATGTTTTCCATTTTTGCTCAGGTATAGAAGGAAATGTGATAATCCACAGTTATCTTATCTCTACAAAAAAATGAGAGATTCATGGATATAATGTGCAGAAGGAAACTTTGCCAATTTGTGATTGGTGGAATGAAAGAGACAAGGCACAATTTGAAGTCCAAAACAAAAATAAAATACTTTATTTAAAAAATAACATAAACTAAAAACAACAGAAGTGAGTGGACTGGGTTTAATTGCAATTCCTATGACCAGTTTCTTAATGCCTTATATACTACTGCTAAACATTCTTACTCTGTTACAGAATACTTAATTGCTTTTATATAAATTTATATTCAGTTATGTTTATATTAAGTACTGAAAATTTTAACATTTTATTTTACTAATTTCTTTAATGTTCAATTTCTTACCACTTTCTTCATTTTTTATGGATGTGAAGAAAAATTAGGCCACACAGCATAGTTAGTGTTGTGAAATATGGTGCAGTTTAATTTGCATTATTGGATTTCAGGTTAAAATAATTTTCTCAAAGAGTGTTAGTTGGGTTTGCTTTATAACAGAAGGAGCAGTGGGATTAAGAAAAAAAAAGAAGTAATACTGAAGTTAACTAAACTAACAGAGTTTAAGCAGTGAAATAAACAGATTAGTCTTGTTTTGTGAAAACAATATTTATCACCAAGACAAAAACATAGTGTATAAGTACTTGCTATCTGGAAGCTGGATGGATGTCTTTCACTGAATTTGTAAATTGATTAGACTGTCTTCCTACCCTTTAGATGTATTTCTGCTAGCCAGTTCACTGTAGATCAGGAACAAAAGTGTTTACTCTATACAAATCTTTTCCAGGATTTTTAAATCTAACATTTTTTACTTAATGGGAAATTTTTGAATGACTAGTGCTTATTATGTGACTGAGGATTCTCATTCAGCTTAGGGAAGGACACTGGCAGTTGACATTCTTACACAACATGTAGCATTACAGTCATGGTACCCATGGGTAGAACAGGTGTTATCTCCATAGAATGGAAACAAAACAAAGACTGTTGGAACAAAGTCAACTTAACAATTTTCTTGACTCCATGTTATGTAAAAACTGTATAAAATGTTAAAACAAGAAGGTACAAAACACATGGTATGTCTGCATACCACAGCACAGATACTATTATGTCTGTGATAGCAATTCCATTATTACCGGATGTACTTGGTAATAATTAAAAGTTATAGAAAGATACACTATATGTGTATATCTGATTTTTCTTAACTAAAGTTTTGTTGATTTTTTAAAAAGTTTATGATTAATATCTTGGATTATAATTATCCAGGTTAATGAACTGGGGCTGTCTTCAGCTGTTTTACCTGTAATAAAGTCTCACCCAGCTGTCCAAAAACGCTTGATCTTGGTCCATAATCAGCTCCACACTTTACCTAGTGGACCTTCATATCTATTTCGAAAAGTTCCTCCATTTTCTAAGCCTTTTATCTGGTATTTGCTACAGGATCTGATAGCACGGAAGAAGAAAGTAGAAGATGAAAGTATTCATGATTTTGCCATCAGAAGGTTTGGAAAAGAAGTATGAAAATTTTTTAATTATATTTTGTATTACTTTTTAAAGTTTTTGGTGCTGACTGAAGAATGGAAACAATTGCAAGGGAGATGGCAAATAAATTCTGATAAACGTTTTTTTTATTCTACCTGATGTTTCAGCCCTATGCCTTTAAGTTATAATAACCAAAAAGAATATAAAAGTATGATAATATAATAGAACAATGTATAGTGAAGTATGCTAAAGTATTATTAAACAGGTTAGAGTTGCTGATCACAAAAGTAAATGTAAACAAACAAATAAAAATAGAATAAACCTTACATGAAATAATAATAGTTTTACATTGGCTAGGCATTATATGTGTCAATAAAAGGGCATTTGAATTGAATCAAAAGAGATTCCTTAAATTTCCTCATTAAAGTTATCACAAATCTAAAATTTTGATCTGATAAGGTGTCTTATCAATTATGCTGTGCGAGCTTATGTAATGTTCAGTGTTGCCTTTGTTGTCAAGATTCGCAGTGGCATGAATATGTTATTTGAAACAATTATGTGTTGAATGGCTAGAGTCCCTTGTGTATGTGGGTGAATATTGTGTATATAGACAGTGTCTGCAAGTTTGAAGGGTTTCTCTAAGCCATTGGTATTAGCAAAGCACTTTTTGGATTTGCATGGATTGTTGTTATTGAAAGCAGAACAAGTAAGTATATCCTTCAGCATTTTACCAGGTTTCTGTAAGATGTGGATATTTAAACCAAATTTTATAATCACTTGATGTGGACAAGTAGTTAAAGTTTCATTCACAAAGGGCACAACCCACAAAGCAGTATTTTGAAATGATGGTTTCTTTTTTATTGTTGTAATTGGATAGCCATTGGACAATAGAAGTATTTGAAGTTTCATCCAGGCTTGCATCTATGTTGTTGCAGGTTTTTTCAGTTGGTTGATAATTACATCCTGTTTAGTAGCTGGTATATTGCAGTACATCTATCTTAAAATGGTCATTGACTGCAATATCCTTTGCTTGCTAAGTAGATAATAACTGTATGTTAAAGCCAACAAATGCTGTAAAAGAATGACCAATCATTTGTTGACACAAAGAAACCAGGGTTTCCTGTATGAGTATACAATCTTGTTTCTTGATAGTTCTACTTGGTTTTCCTTGTGTCTAGTCCATCAGACATTAATCTTGATATATGGAGGGCTTTTGATCTATTCATTGATCCATTAGAGGCAATTGTCTGTGCAGGTACATAATGTTTTTATTGTTATTTTTCTAATAAAGATTGTTTTACCTGTCCATCAAATATGTCCAATCTATTTATTTCTCATGCAACTTAAACCTCAGTTGAGGTTTCAGATTCAGATAAATTTTAAATTTCCTGTTTGACCCAGTTGTTATTAAGTAGGCCTCTCTATTACTTGCATAGAAATTAGTTCACCTGAGAATACCACACACCTCAACCCATAAGATTTTTCTCTCTCTTCCTTCCTCTCCTAATTATTGCATTATTATGTGGGATACTAGCTATATGTGGAGAGGTGAGGAGCATGTTTCTGAAGTTATTTGCATTATCTGAAAATGTATTTCAAGCAGATACCCATCTCTCCACACTTCCAGTGTCTTTCTTTCGTTTTGTCAAAAATGAGCTTTTGATATACACTAACTGTTTAAGGAGAGTACTGTGCATGGAGGATATGTTGCCATCTTATTGATGGAGGGATATAGTCTAATGCTGCTTTCATCATATAATAAAACAGTGCATGTTACTACATGTAAGATGGGAGTTTTGTTCAAAGGTTTGGCACATCTGCAAAAACTTTTTGGTAGTGACATAAGATATTAGTTTTCTGTTTTTTGAGGAGATTAGTATTTATGTGAAATACATTTTCAGGTGAGGAAGATGTTAACTTTGAATAGCTCTAAGCTAAAGTAATTTTTTGTTACTGCTTTTCTTATCTATTTTTATTCTTAAGATAGCTGAGTACATTATGGATCCTGTTTGTCGAGGTATAGTGGCAGGAGATTCAAGGGAAATCAGTGTTCGATCCCTTTTTGGAAACCTTTTCCAGGGAGAGCAGGAACATGGCTCTGTTGTGAAGGGACAGCTAAAGCAGACTCAAGGTAACTTAATATTGTAGACTGTAAACTATAATTTATAATTGATATCACTTTTATAGAAAAAATATACATGTACAATTGTAGGCTTCCAGATGGGGATGTTTATTTCTACATCAGATTTTTATATTCCTGCTTCAAAAAAATTGAAGTGGTGAATGTTGAATAGTAAATTCTTTATGCAGTTTTTCAAAAGCAATCTAATATTTATGTTGCAAGCATATACAAATCTCAAGATGGAGTTAGATCTCTCTTGATAAAGGTTCCCTGCTGAAGGTGTTTTAACTCTCTTGTTACGAGGTAGGTCAAATTGACCAACCTTGTAATCATTTTGTACTTGTAATAGTTTCCATACTATCTCTTTTAATACAGTATGTGTATCTTCACAAAAAAATCAAATTTTTTATGAAGCATTTTTACTAAAGATTTTTTCTGTGAATATATATATATATATAT